CGGCTAGCTGCGGTGTTGTGTCATCCAGAACTGATGTTAAGCTAGCCTTATTAACTTTATCGCTGGCAGAAACAGTCACCAGGAAGTAAAAGAACAAACAGAAGCACGTTTGTTTGGGTAACATTTCGAAAATCACCAAATTTACAGGTACTGACTGATGCAAGTCCGAAGATGTGACTGTGGCTTTAGCGCAATGATGTATATCACTGAAAAACAAGAAGAAGAAGCAGTAAAAAGAAAAAGGTGCAAGAAACCAGCGGTAAACCAAAACCTCAAAAGACTCGTTGACGTGGCCTTAAGCCCAAACGACAGCGATTCATTGTTAGCTGAAGTGTGTTGTGTTGATAACTGTGACAGCAAAATGGCATATTATAGGTTGAAACTATTACAAGGAATTGCCTTGTTTGCACAGTTGGCAGGAACGTATAGTCAGATATTTCAGTTGAAAACCGACTCGCTTTTCTCGATTGTTTTTGAAGTCTTGTTTTATTGCTCAAGTGTGTGGAGGCGCAGTGGCCTCACGCTCCGGATCAGGCGGTCCGGGTTCGATCCCTGGCCAGTGTCATTGTGTTGTGTTCTTGGGCAAGACACTTTACTCTCACAGTGCCTCTTTCCACCCAGGTGTATGAATGAGTACCGGCGAATTTAATGTTGCGGGGTGACCTGCGATAGACTGGCATTCCAACCAGTGGGGGTAGAAATACTCCTAGTCGCTTCATGCTACCGAAACTGGAGATAACCAACAGCCTAATGGGCCACTTTGCTCGTGAATGTAGACTTCAACTTTACCTCTTTTACCTTCTCTGTTACAAATAACTATACATCTTCTTGTTTTATGTTTCTTGATTTTTTTAAACCCTTTTTTTAAAATCCTTGTTCTTTCTAAATCCTGTATATAGTGCTGTCCACGTCAGGTAAAATTCGTGTCACCGGAGGGATCCTTCTCTGATTCCCAAAATCGAGAATAATTAAAAAAGAAAAAAAAAATGGCAGGTATTATCATGGGAATATGGCTTATATCGGGATTAGCTCTCGTACCATTAATCCCCTCTTGCTAAATTCCTGATTATTTTACTTATTACAGAGAAATAAAACTCATTTTTGATGCATATTTTTTGCCTATTTTTCTGCGCTGTAGGAAAAAAACAAAATTTATGTCTTGCTTTCTCCCAGCTTGATGGTTAAGAAGATCTTCAGCAAGCTAAATAAACTTTCCAAGTTTCCCAGCCAGCTTAGTAAAACCATCAGTTTATTCAGCAAATATTGCACCAAATCAGCCATCACTTGTGTTAAACAACTGACTGGACAGTGTGTATGTCTCAGCCCATTTTTTCTGGATTTTGATCCAGGGAACACCGAAATAATAATTTCAATGATTTCTAGCATAATTTCCCAAGAGAAAAGCTACTGAAAATAACTTTTCCTTCTGCAAAACGGATTAGTATTAAAAGGAACAGCTGGATTGACTTGTTCATCTATGTATACAGAAGCAACTGACAACTTGGCGAACGCTGCGCATTGTTAACAATTCCCTTTCATGATTCATGACCAAAATTGTTCCTTTGTCGTCATCACTAACCCACTTTTGGAGGATATTAAACTCATCACCTGACTTTCTACGAACGTCATGACAAACATCCATACTTTGTGCTCCGTTTTTAACTTACTTACTAGCTAAAGGTAATGTTCACCTGCTTTGATTGTGTCGAGGTTTTTCGGCCAATCAAGCCAGTTCTTCGAGTGTCACAAGCTGCGACAAGCAAGAGCATTAAAATATATACAAACGATTAGATTAACTTTGCACAATAAGTTCAATTTACTGCGTTACCGCGCTCAAATTTTCTCAGCACTAGGCGTTTGAAATCATCATGTCCTCTCCCTGATGTGTTTTGTGCCACCTTAAATTTGAAAGGCTAAAAAATGCAATATTTTGTCTACTTCTTTTCAACTCAGATTTATCATGATCGAATTTCATTCATCCCAGTCAAATAAAAATACTTACCATCGTATTGCCACTCTTTGAACTTGCCACTGTGCTTTTCAACCAGTTTCTAACCATTTTAGCTACAGCGTATTAAAAACTTCTCTAGTATAGTACGTGTAAGACATCTGTTGGCCGAGACAAAAGTCTAATTTGCTGTAATGTCCCATAGATGCACGTTACTCCATTTTCAGTGGGATCTTTGAATCGCAGCTAACAGACCAATACTGGCTGTTGTGTATCTGTAATTACACACATATATATATTTATAACAAAGTTTCCATATAACGCGCGCTCTGATTGGCTGAAAGAGCGTGCTTTATCAGAGAACAGAGCACGGATTGATGACGGTAAGTTGGCTTTCAAATTTTTGCTACGGAATTTTGAGAAATTTGCCCTGTGATTCAGACAAACGCAATAGAAACGAGCTATTTGTCTGTAGTAAATATGGCTCACAGAGCAACAGTAGAGTTAAAACTGTACTAAAATAACAAGTTTTGCTAGATTCCCGCCGACAAAAGACGTAGCGAAATAAACAAATTCTCAACCTAAACAGTGCTTCGATAAAGGACATTATATTTGTTACGAAGGCAGAAATTATGCTTAAGAAGTAAAACAACGACAGAAAACAACAATTGAACTGTCTCTGTTTATGATGAGAAACTTTATTTT